GGCCACTGTTGATTACCAAACTCCCTGCCTTGATTGGATCACCACAGAGCCAGTCTGGGTGGAACAGTGGCCTTTACCCAGGGAGAAATTACTCATTTTACAGCAACTTGTGAAAGAACAGCTACAGTTGGGTCACATTAGGCCCTCCAGGAGCCCATGGAACACCCCAGTCTTTGTAATAAAGAAGAAGACAGGGGCATGGAGACTGTTGCAGGACCTTAGAGCTATAAATAAAACCATGAAAATATGGGGATCCCCCCAAAGAGGCCTACCCATGGTCTCTGCCATCCCTATTAATACCCCCCTGTTAGTGTTAGATATGAACGACTGCTTTTTCTCCATCCATTTGCACAAAAATAGTTGCCAACATTTTGCCTTCTCAGTTCCAAAGATTAACAATTCTGGTCCAGCTGATCGATATGAATGGCAAGTTCTGCCACTAGGCATGGCAAATAGTCCTACGATATGCCAGGAGGCTGTTGCTTATGCACTGGCACCCCTATTAAAAAAGGGGCTGCATGTTTATCATTATATGGATGACCTCTTAGTCTAGCAAGATGAGGATTCCTCTCTAGAAGACCTAAAAGATGCTATGATAAACACCCTAGGGGCAAAAGGTTTTGTAATTGCAACAAATAAAATACAATCTGTCCCCCCCATTACCTTCCTAGGGACTGAAATAACACCCACAGCTGTTAGGCCCCTCAAACCTGTCCTAGATGTTCCCCATCCACTTACCCTTAACTCACTTCAAAGTTTTCTAGGTAATATTAATTGGCTAAGGCCATGGCTTCCTATCCCCACAAGTCAATTACAGCCACTTTTTGATCTTTTAAAGGGAGACAAAAACCCAGCCTCCAGACGGTACCTAAACCCAGATGCAAAAAGGGCTCTTCAAGTAATTAATAGCCATTTCCAAAAGGCATCACTAGCCAGATATGATCCCAAGCTGCCTGTCCAACTCTTAATATTTAATTCCTCCCCAACCATGGTAGGAGCAATTTATCAGCCACACGGAGTATTAGAATGGCTTCAAATGCCAGTAGGTGGTGCTCCTCGCTTCCTTACAGAAGTGGACACCCTTGCATCCATGGTACGACATGGGAGAGATAGAGCTGTGCAAATCCTAGGAAAGGAACCTGATAATCTTATTATTCCTTTCTCATTGTCAGATGTACAATGGCTCTTAAAGCATCATTCCTCTTTTGCAATTAGCTTAATAGACTTCCCAGGACAAATTGATAATCACTATCCTAAAGATAAATGGGTGTCAGTTATTCCAACATTTCGTTGGCTACCGCCTAGACTTTTTTGCCATAAACCAATAAAAGAGACTATTACAGCCTTTACAGATGGAGGAAAAAAGGGAGCTGGAGCTGAATCACTGAGATCTGAGCTGAGTCACTTGTCTTGAGCTGTAACACTAAATCCTATGATCCAGTCTCCCCGGGGGGCACTATTCCTCCGTCGCCGACTCGGGGACACCCTGGCTTTCGCCGTCCCTCATACGCTTCCCGTGTGGTCCAAGTGGCCAGTGGACCTCACATCCTGAGGAAGGTATGCGGGTGAAATAGGGACGGGATCGACTGAGTAGACCTCAGTAGTGGAGGAACTTTCACTGCCCAGGAGTGCGCGCTGGGACCCTGAGAGCCCAGCGCGTGCTTGCCTATAGAATTGCTGTCTGTGGTCTATGCACGATGACAGATTCTAAGGAAGGGCTTGGGTGACAGAGCAAGGGCAAGGGAAAGTATTGTTTCAATATTATCAGAGGCTCAGAGAAGAAACTGCTGTTTTAACTCAGTTATACCTTACCCCGGAAGGGCGAGGCATGTGTGAACTGAGCCACTCCTGCTGGCTTTAGCCTGCAAGCCCAGACAGAACCATTCACCGAAGCTGATGATGGGCAGGACAACTATTCAGAACTGGACCAGAGTCCAGTAACAGGGCAGCATCTTTGGAGTTGCATATCTTTTTCCTGTAAGGGGTTTGTGTTCAAAGACTGTAATGCTGTCAGATATGTATTTGGTTTTCATTGCTGGTGGCTGCTGGCTGGCCATTCATAGGTAGCTTTGAGATGGGGTGGTTCACCAGAAAGACCAAAACAAGATCGCGGTTAGAGGCTTGGGTCTTCCAGCCCATTTCTCAAACTCTGGGAGGCCAGAGAAAATAGCAATTGAGCTGATCCAATGGTGTAATCAACCAAGTCTAAGTATGAAGTCTCCACAAAACACAAATGCCAGGGTTCACGTGAGCTCTTGGACAGCTCACCACATAGAGGATCCTAGAGAGTGGTGCACCCTGAGAGAGTAGGGAGGTTCCACCTGCTCGCCTTCAGGCTCTATGCATTTCTCCATCTGTGTTAGTTATAATATCCTTTACAGTAAACTAGAAAATGTTCGTAGGTGTGTGCCTGAGTTCTGTGACCCACTCTGCACAAACCTGAGGAGGGGGCTGGAAACCCTGATTTATATTCCAGAGGCACAGGTAAAGCCAGCTGAGGGAAACCTAGCACCTAGGACAGGGTTTTAACGATGGAGCCCCCTAGGCCAAGGGTCTGATGCTTGCACTCATGGACACTGTCAGAACACAACTGAGCAGAGATCTCTGAGATGCTGTCCTGCTGCAGTTTTGCTGGCTGGTGGGGAACTGTCCCTTGTGTCGGAGAGTGCTGCTGAGAACACAGGCAGAACTAAGTGGCTTTTGCTTGCTTGATTGATTTAGTTACTACTTTTTTTTTTGGTCTTTTTGAGACGGTCTCCCTGTAGCCCCAGCTGTCCTGGAACTCACTATGTAGACCAGGCTGGCCTTGAACTCACAGAGATCGCCTGCCTCTGCCTCCCAAGTGCTGGGATTAAAGGCGTGCGCCACCACGCCTGGCTTAGTTATTACTTTTATTTTATTTGTATGAGTGTATTGCCTGCATGTGTGTAAGTGCACACATGTTGTGCAATGCCCATGGAGGTCAGAAGAGGGCATCCCTTGGAACTAGAGTTACGAACAGTTGGCAGCCACCATATGGATGCGAGGAATTGAACTCAGGTCCTCTGCAAGAGCAGCTAATGCTCTTAATCACTGAGTCATCTCCCCAGCTCTGCTTGTTTGAATTTTTTTTTTCAGTCTTTTGGGGACAGGGTCTCCCTGTAGCTCCAGCTGGCCTAGAACTCACTATGTAGACCAGGCTGGCCTTGAACTCAGAGAGCTGCCTGCCTCTGCCTCTTGAATGCCGGGATTAAAGGTGCACCCCACCATACTTGGCCTTGTTTGAATTTTTAAGACAAGGTCTTGCTATGAAGCCCAAGCTGGCCTGGAACTCTCCTCTCTCCTGCCTCTGCTTCCTGAGTGCTGAAGATTTTACGTGTGTACCACTATGCCTAGTCTTGGCCTAATTTGCATTTACCTTAACATCTTCAGAGCCCCTACCCACTCTACCAGACTACATGCTTTGACAGGCCCCCCCTCTAGGCTTCCTTCTTGAGGGCAACACCCTGGAGGCGGGGAGACAAGGCAAGTACTCCCCGCTGCCCCGCACCTCTGCAGCTCCTTTTCCACCTGCTGCTGGTATAAGGCCCCTTCTCGAAGGATGGTGGCTGTGTTCAGCTTCACTGGGCAGTTGTTAGCCTGTGGAGAGGGAAGGAGTGGTGGGTGCCCTCCCATCTTGCCCTCCTTACTTGTCCACAGCTCAGGTACTTCTGCCTCAGGAGTGAGGCTTGTCTGTGGGGCCCTGGAATCCTCCAGCTCCCACCTTCTGAGCCTTCCTGGAACAGGACAGGTGGGGAGGAGGGTGCCAAGGAGAGGCTGACTGGCCATGAGGCCCTCACCCTGTAGAAGGTCAGCTTTGGAGTCCTGTGGATATGGGGTGTGGACTGCACCTGCAGCTGCTTCTTACAGTCCTGCAAGTCAGAGAGAGTTAGTCTGGCACCTGTGCCGTCTAGGCACCCCTAATTGTGCCTAGGGAGCCGTTGGCCTAGCACCTGGGGAAGGGAAGGGCTACCCACTTTTCCACTCCAGCTGCTCACCCACGAGTGGCACCCAGGTCTCCAGTTTAGCATTTTGTCTTCCATTTCACTCTAAGCTTTGCTGGAGTGCTGGACCTCCTGGGCAGAAGCAGGAAAGGGGCAGGCCTACTAGGCCTGGGGATAACTGATGGAAAGGCTGCTTCCTCATTCATCACCCTTCCCCTCCACTATCCCCAGGGCTGGCTCCTCACTGGCTCCATGCCTGCCCAGGCCCTGCCACCACACCTGCTTTATGTGGTGCTGAGGATTGCACTCAAGTCTTCATGCATGCTAGGCAAACACTTTACCAACTAAATTACATCCCTAACCCTGGAAGGAAGGCTTTCATGACCTGAGAAATGCCACCGTGAAGATTGGGCATGGCCTGTCGGTGGGGCATTACCTGTGTGGCCGGCTCCCTCTGAGACCTGGGCATGGCACAGCGAAGCTCCTCCATGTTGGCTTTCAGCAGCAGCTCCTGCCATGACACCACACAGCTCTTACCCTACTGGTTGCAATCCAGGGTCCTTGGGCCATGGGGGAGTGGGATGCATGTGCTGTGCCCCTGGTCCCCGACCTTCTTCCCATCCCCTGCCCTTAACAGCCCTGACACGGTCTCTAGGGAAACAGGGTCCCCCACAGCCACCTCAGCCTTCCTGCGGTTGTATCTCTTGACCATCTGTAGCAGCTGCTGTTCCATGGGCTCCTGGTAGGTGCTCTGAGGGACCTGGTAGTGGGCAGAGTCTGTGGTCAGTGGCTACAGCATAAAAGGGTCAGGCCACACGTGGTCTGGAGCTGAGCATGGGATGCAGGTAGAGAGAGGAAGTTTTGAGGCCAGGTCACTGAGGGTATGTCATTGGCCTGGATAAGATGAACAGGATGGGTAAGGAATGAAGGGAAGTGGCTAGCTCCTGGGATGTAAGGTGGCAGGTAGAGGGATCCAGAGTACCACATACTGTAGAAAAGTGGACTGCCTGTGAAGGGGCCTCAGGGTAAGTCTTTGGCCTGTCCTCTGGGTCCAGTCATAGGAGACTCTCAATGTCCCTATGGGGGCTGTGTCTATGAAGGATCAGGTGAGAGCCAACTGGGCTCTCTGGAGACTCAGATCCTGACTGTCCCCTTCTCCTCTGAAAGTTTCACTGACAAGGTAACTCAATTCATCCTAACCTTCCTCCAGCTGCCCTGCCCCATCCTTGCTGACCCTCACTGGGGACCCTGGTGCTGTCTCTCTCTTGTCCATGCCAAGGCCTCAGAGTCTTCCTCTGTTTCCCTCACACCCATAGCCAACTCCAATTCTGCCCAGTTGCTTCCAAAAGTTCCACAAACTGCCTCTCCTTGTGACTTCCTTCGCCCTGACAGCCAGAGGACCTGTGCTGTGCCAGCCTCTTCAGCGTGCACCTTCCGTCTATCCCTGCAGTGGGGTCCTCTTCCCTGTACCCCCCCCACTTCCTCACTGCCCTGCAGTCTTTCTTGGCTGCTCACCAACACCTGGGCCTGTATGTGCTTGGCTCCCAGCTTGCTCTTCCCAGCACTAACCCAAGGCCCGCTCGCTCACTTCTTCCAGTTCTTTCCTCCATAGAACTCCTCACAAAGACTTTCCTGGCTATACTATTCTGACTCATGACCATTCTGTCACTTCTCCGCACGTATCCACATACACACTGCATTTTACGTACTCCGATTTTCTTTTTTTTTCTGGTGTGAATCCCCACTTGAAAGCATGTTCTATGATGACCAAATCCCTGACACATACTAGATACTCAGTAACTTTATTTTGTCTTTTTGAAGCAGGGTCTCCCTGTAGTCCCAGCTGTCCTGGAACTCACTATGTAGACCAGGCTGGCCTTGAACTCACAGGGATCCGCCTGCCTCTACCTCCCAAGTGCTGGGACTACAGGCGTGCGCCACCACACCCGGCTTGATATTCAGTAACTTTTAAATGAATGAATGCATTGAAGTGGGCCATGGGTCAGAGCAAGCAGGGTAGAGGAGACAGGTTTGTGATTATAGCAGTACCCTCAGGGAAGGTGGACATCTACCATGTAACAGTCAGGGAACTGTTCCTCAGCCAGCAGAGTAGAGAGAGATGGCTGCAGGATGATTGATTCCTGAGAAGGCATCAGAAACACCAAAGACTGAAGATAGGGTAACTGTGGCATTGCTTAGCAACAAAGTTCTGATGGTCTATCCACCCATATATCCATTTGATCATCCACCCACCCACCCATCCATCCATCCATCCATTTGACCATCCACCCATCCATCCATTTGATCATCCATCCACTCATCCATCCATCCATCCATCCATTTGATCATCCATCCATCCATCCATCCACTCATCCATCCATCCATCCACCCATCCATCCACTCATCCATCCTTCCATCCATCCATTTGATCATCCATCCATCCATCCACTCATCCATCCATCCATCCATTCATCCATCCATCCATCCATCCACTCATCCATCCATCCATCCATCCATCCATCCACTCATCCATCCATCCATCCATCCATTTGATCATCCATCCATCCATCCACCCAC